CATTCCCTCGGACAACACTGTTGCGTTTACTAAGCGCAACTGGACAGACAAAGACTCACTCGTCCATGCTTGGCATCATGCAGTGCACAAGTAAGGGAGAAAAAAAACGAAAACCAAGGCATGTACGACGAGCGGATTTTCGCAGCCATCGAAGCTGCTTTCCCAGCTATCAAGCGCTCGAAGAATGCCACGGAGGACAAAATTCACGCTCTCCGCGAGATGTATTAGTTCGTCAGATATGTAAATACAAACAGGGTTGCAGGAAGCAGAGGTAAGCTAAACTGGTTTGATCTGTCGAAGAAGGAAACGAAAGAGCTCCGTTAAGTTGAATGTCTATTAGCTAGCCATATATTGTACTGATAGGGGTGACTATATGTTGGTTGTATACAGTGACCTACACCGCATGAGAAGTCCGAGCATCAGTCACGAAGTGTTTGAGGAAACCCGCTTTTTAAACGACAAACCTAATACAGTTCCGTTATCGTCGGCATTTAGTGCGCAGCCTTACTTCGACGATGAAGACTCCAAGCAATTAGAACCATCGCCGGGGGTTGACAGCCTGTTTGGTGAGTCCATCGACAGCGCAAGACCGTCAAAGACCCTTACAACCCTGGAAAAAGAAATTCTAAGCGCAAGAGAGACAGCAAGCTCGATGACATGAGAGATATTCTTGAAGAACAGTCGAAATAAATGTTTGAACAAGCAGAGCAATTGTAACAAGAGGAGATGCGTGAGAGCCGAGATCAACACGTCAAAAGGATGACGCTTTTGAGAAAGTAAACATTTGCTGTTAAGAGCACTATCCAACCCAGCTAAAACCTTACGTTGCACGTTGCAACTTAAACGTATACCATTTCTTGAGCTCATGTCTTAGCGTTTCTGTTGTTGTTTTCGTTTTATCTCATCCTCACTATAGAAAAGCTGTCATTCGGGTCCAGCAGGAAGTTTGCATGATGCAGAGTGCAAACACGATATCAGGTATGATGTTGATGATCCGACTTATTCCCTTTAGAATTATTCTCCAGCGGTACTTTAGTTGCCCAAACGCACACTCGACCCGGTATCGAGCATGTGCTAATCGTCTGTCTAGCATTGCACATACTGCGATTACTGTTTCTGCTATTTCGAATATTGTCACCATGCAATTATTGTTCTGATATCCCGAGTCACCAAGCAAGAAGTATGAGATGTTCGCGACAGTATCACGTTCAGTAGGAATCGTAACGCTCTTCAGTGCGGCCGATAACGGCGAAAACGCGTATGCCAATGCGCTGTTTCTAAATACACGGCTGTCACCTACTCGCCCTGGCCATTTACAGTCCAATCCACCGAAGCGCCCTCGCCAATCAGCTACCAGTTGCAGCACGACACTGTACCAGCACTTTATGTTGAAATGCATTTCTCCTTCATCGTTAGGCTTGCTTATCGAAATATACGTACCATCAATACAGCCGACTATCTGTGGGACCCCATACGCGTCTGCGAAATGAGCTGTACGTAGCCGAAACAACGCAAATGCGACAAGCCCACTTGCATATACTTTCAGCTACTTCCTTTATGACACAGTAGCGTTTCCAATTGCAAAGTGATCTACAGCTGCTCGTGTGGGTGCGGCTTGAGCACACACGTAAAGAAGTACAGCTAAACGCTCTGGCGTCTCCACCGCATCAGGAGCATCTCGAACGGGGATCAAATGTGGGCATATGGCGCGGTGTAGAGAATCAATACTTTAGCTATCCATACGAAAAAGCTCTTTCATACTACAAGTAAAGAAAGCACGCAAGGAAAATAACATTTGAGCCCAGTGGCTACTCCTCTGCTTCTCAATCCACTTCTGATCAATTTGCGAAAAATAGCCTTCAGCCACGACTAGACTTTCAAATTACATGCCCGTATTGCATCAACGCTGGTACACGTTTAGAAGGCACACTGGATTCCAAAACTATATCCGGTAGAAAAGCTAGCTGAAGACGTGCAACTGTCGTCATGGCCGTCACTGATCTCTTGGTACTAGGGGTAAGTAAGACATCAGAGAGAAATACACGTTAGTTGTGTAGAAGTCGCAATGGATACGCTTAGCGCTACATCCAGCGTCACTCTGTCAAAAACACATTTGCTGTCGCTGAGAGGGTATGTTAGGGTGGAGCCGAGGGACTCAACACACAGAGGAGGCGGCTCTAGAGTTGACCTCAACACCCATGATCAGTGTCTTGTCCTACACCAACAGGAACACAACGTGCGTGGGCAGCAACGCGGCGGTCCTGTGGTGCTTCTAAAAGAGAACGGACGCGGCTCACAACTGATACGAGTGGATGGACAGATAATTAGTGGTCTATCTTATTAAGTCGATTACTTGAATGATGGTGGACTGAATTCAGTTTCCAGTGGGATCGGGAACTTGAGCAAAAAGATCGAAACTTCGGGTTTACCCTTGCGATTGTGCTGATTGCAAGGATAAATCCGGAGCTTCCATACTATTGCCCAGGTTCTCGATCCCAGGTTTTGCTGAACAGGGCCAGCATACACTGACAAATGTGCAAAGCGCGGTGGGTTTTCAAGATAGCCCTAAACTAATTATTTTGTCCTGGTAGTGCAACGGTACGTTGTACAGACAGCCCTAAAAGGACAAATTCGAGCTGTGTGAGCCACGTTTACAGCTGTTTTTGAGTCTGTACAAGGTTTAGGTGAAGAGGTCCTTTACTTTCACCGCTATGCATACTTCTGTACATTTTATTAGTATTGACACTCTCAGATAGAGCACACTACAGTGATGCTTTAAGTACGGATTTCAAGAACCTTACTGCACGGCTTTGGATGCTTGTATACAAAAACGTTAATTTAACCAAGTAGATGATGGCCAATTTAACCGCCACGGCCTTTGTATGCAATAGGCTGTAGTGGACACAATAGTATACAGCGCTCACACTGTGCCCGTTGGCACAGGAGTATGTACGTAGTAGTCAGTGGCAACACGCGAAATGAGTTGATAGAGGTCACGGGCTTGGGAAACGTTAGGCTTGTACGTGGCGAAGGGCAGAGTCACCTCTCGGGGAGAAGACCCGAGCGAGAACACTTGAAGGGAAGAAGGAACATTCTGACGTGATTGATTTATCGGAGCTTACTCTGTCCTTACTACCTAGGTTATCTAGTCACCAACACTCTGCTCTCGTCCAATCATCCTACTCGTCTAATCATCGGTAGCGTAATCAACGTATTATAATCATGGCGGGATCGTGTTGTACTGGTTTGGGCTACCAGCTTATGGGTACTTACCGTCTGAAACCGGTACCCCTCAATATGAGTGCACACAAGATACAAGCACTAGTCTAATCAGCGCGTTTTTGTCGGCGACGGTATCAACCTCGGCAACAAAGCTATGAGCGGTACTTTGGTATCAGCTATACTGTTTCCCATTAGCTGCAATAAACAGTAGAAGCTTCTGTGCGAATGTGAACCGCCACTCACAGCTCGATGCTCCTGCTTTGGACGGCTGTCACTGACTTACTCAATATGATCACGGCGCGTACATTTAGTCGGGCTTCTGCAGCGCTCGCCAATCTTAAGCTGGTAAATGTATACATCAATACAATACGTAAAATGCGTAGAACAGAGAATGGTTAGCTATTTTCACATTTGCAGCAGCAGCGAGAGTTTGTCCCTGAAAGGGGGGGGGCTTGTAATGTGCACTTGCTGCCAAGACGACTTGCTCACAACGACTGAAAGGTAAGAATGCTTAGATTTCCTTTGAGCAGCTTGAGCGAGAGCTTCTACTAGTCCCAGATTCCTGTTAGCGTATCCTGCAAAGTCTCTTTGTCCCGCGCCGCCTCTCATACCTCAATCTGTGTCGAACGCCGGTATCGCTTCACCTGCCATGGCGCAGACCTGATCTTGAACAGGGAGAGGGGAGGCTACCACAGCACTAGGGATGGATGTACTCGTGAAAAAGTAGCCTGCTTCTTTTTTTTTTAACTTCTTACAAATTCGTTAGCAGAGTACTACACCGTTCATTCTAACCATGACTAAATATGGTGTTTGAATTTTGGTAATTTAACTGCCCGCTATATAAAAAATAACTACCGGTAGTTCATATTTCAAACCAAGCACACTAAATTAAAGTTATTGCCGAGAACCGCTGTTTTTGTTTAGAATTGATGACTCTTCTAAAATATCTGGGATATTTTTGAAGATTCATCAATTCTAAACTTCTTCTAAAATATCCCAGATGTTTTAGAAGAGTCATCAATTCTAATTAGTCGTGCTTCCGCTTTAGTGGCGATTTGTGACGCCACTAAAGTGCGAATGCACGATCAATTTCGAAGCACGACTAATTAGTGTACCAGTCCACTCATTTATTACGACTCTGAAAGCAGATCTCCACTTCATCAAAGTAAAAAAAGGTGACATTTGATTTTCCAATCAGAATTCAGACGATAAATGGTGGCTGGGACGCAACGACCAGCTTTATCTACACTTTAACTACCAATGCCATCACTGCCCCACAACACTTGCAAGTGCAGCGCAACAAACCCACCTTCACGACAGAGGAAAGTATTTAAAACAGGTACCTTGCTCCATTCGCTACTGATGCACCGTCCGAAGCACTTTTCCAACGCAAGGATGGACTCGCCGCGCTCGCCCCCATCATCAACGTCGCCTCCAACCTGCTGACCAAACCGATACCCACCAACAAATGGTGGGGGAACCTCATCCACACCACAACAGAGGACATCGACACCGTCGCCAACCCCGCATGGTCTAATCCGTATGCGCTCAAGCTACCCAAAGAAGCACCTTTCGGTATACAAGCATGCTACTCCCACACATACCATCAAATGGCCGGTGAGGTGAATGGCGTCGTCCGATACTATCTGCACGAATTCCACAACGACGTAACGTTATCGGCGAATGAATTCGGGTCGACTAAACCGGACTACGAGGTGTACTCGTTCAGTGAAATGGGAGTTTCTGTGCGGACGTTTGTTACGGGTAGTAAAAACTGCATGGACTCCGCGCTGGTGCACGGCATGGCGTTTGTATCAGCAACGTACGCCGGTTTAACGCCCCGCATCGAGTCCGAATATGCCATGACGCTGCAAGATAGCTCGACGCCAGGCAAGTACGTAGTGAAGCTCACGAACCAGCAGACATGGGTGATATTTGCGAGCGATATGGGGGCTTCGTTCCACATCACGGGGTCAGCTCTTGTGAGCAATGCGGTTTACACTGGAACACTTCGGATGGCAATTCTACCTGAGACTGGCGATGAGAGTGTCTACGACGACTACGCGTCGTGTGTTGTCCGTGGTGGAGACGTGTCAGTGCAGTCCCGAACAAGCTACTCGCTGGACTGGGAGACTGAAGGCAGTAGCTGTGACAGCACGGGTCTGTTGCATTTCGCGCTACCGCATCAAGTGGAAGTTATGAAAGAGGCTATTACGACGAAGAGCAAGGGTGTCATCGTACTGCACTCGAGCACTCGTGGTGATATGGTGGCTCAAGTGACGAAATTTGGTAGCTGGGCCTTGAGAGAGGATGAAGCAGACGAAGAAGTGGACTTCTATCCATCAACTAAGCCGTCAGCTGATGTAGTTGCGCAGGTTAACCTTCTGTCCACGTTGCAGAGCGATATTGACAGCGATTGGGTTCTGGACAAGGGGAGTTGGTACTTCAGTGGAAAATCATTTCAAAAGTATGCATCATTATGCCTTATAGCAGCGGACACCACTGTAGTTGGAGATGACACGACCCTACTTCGACGCTGTCTGGATAAGCTGGAAGCACTTTTGAAATCATTCGGGACGAACACCCTTAGCTCACCTTTAGTGTACGATACGACATACAAGGGAATAGTGACAAGTCTGGCGTTTACCACCGGAGACATAAATGCCGATTTTGGCAATGGAGTGTATAACGACCACCACTATCACTACGGCTACTGGGTGACGGCGTCGGCTATCTTGAAGAAACTAGACCCCTCATGGTCAGGCATAGAGCAACTTGACACTATGGTGTGGACGCTGCTTCGTGATGTGGCTAACCCAAGCTTGGATGACCAATACTTTCCAAGATTTCGCCATTTCTCGTGGTATGTATTTGGGTCATTCGTACTCGCACGGTGTGACCCCAGTGGCTGATGGGAAAGACCAGGAGAGCACATCAGAGGACGTGAACTTCTACTACGGCATGAAACTCTGGGGACAGGTATCGGGTAACAAGGCGGTGGAAGATCTAGGTAGTCTTATGCTACGCCTCAACGCTCGTACCGTACGCACCTACTTCCTCATGACGTCGGACAACACGATACACCCGCCTCAGTTCGTTCCGAACCACGTCACAGGCATCTTCTTCGACAACAAGGCGGACTACACAACATGGTTCAGCGCCGAAAAGTATTGCATTCACGGCATCCAAATGATTCCGGTGTCGCCTATCAACGGCTTAGCACGCACGAAGACGTTCATCCAGGAAGAATGGGATGACATTTTATCAAAGGAACCGATTGTTACGGGCAGTGATACCTCCAACGCGTGGCTGTCGCTGTTACTTGTGAACGAGGCTGTCATCAACCAGGCTGATGCATTGGCAAAGCTGGCGACGGCCACGATGGACGACGGTCTCACCCGTTCGTGGCTCTGTCCAATGCCGCATCTCATCAAACCGCAGCCTACATTGAAGCTGAGATCGGCGTTGAAGGCGAAATTAGCCTCTAGGATTTGACCTGGCTGACTAAAATTAAATCTCAAAGCTAAAGTAAATAAATTACCGAAAATTAAGAACTCTCTAAATAGTTGAGTGCAAAGTAATACATTCTGAGAATAATGACAGCCAATAATCTAACAGAGATCCAATCTCAAACTGCCACAACTCCGAGCCAACGATGGTGAAGCGCGGGACCAAGGCGCGGCGCTCGGGCTCCGCCGTGGACCAGCTGCAGGCGGCGTTGACGCGCTCACTGAAAGAGAGCGTAGCGGAGACTGTGAGCTCCGTATGCGAGAGCTTCCAGCACGCAGTCGAGGCGCAGACGACTTCGCCTGCGTCCACAGAAGAAAGCGGAGGTTATGACCAGTACTTCAATACCTGCCGCCGCCTGGTGGACTACATTAAGAAGCACATGGAGGCCTCTCCGGGTTTCGAAGACCAGATGGACCGCATTATCCTGGCCTGCCACAGCGGCGCCACGGAGCGTGTGCTCAACTCGGTGGTGACCAAGGGACTGTGGTTCCATCGACGCGGAGACGCCCCACCCGCGCAGCGCGAGACACGCAGCCATAGCATCGGCCGGGGGTCGATGTCCAAGAAGAAGGTGAAAAGAGAGGCGTCTGTGCCCCGAATGCCCACCCGAGCGTCCACCGAGTCTCCTGCCATGCACACGAGAAGTGCATCTGGCAGTAAGAGAGCCACGAGAGGCAGCCCACAGGATGTGCAACCTGCAAAGCGACCACGTCGTGCAGCGAGGAAGGTGATTCAGGACAGCTCGGATGAAGAAGAAGAAGAAGAGGAGAAGCCGGTGGCGTGTACGACTAGGAACCAAAAGGAGACGGAGGAAGACGATGACACGTTGCTGTCTTTCAAAGACGCTATTGGCGAGCTGTGCTACCCTGACCTACGCACTCCTTCCGAGACTAAGTTCTTTAAGGAACGTCTACGCAAGTCCATCCAGTTCGTGGACGCTCTGCTGTGCAAACCTCCGCTTGGCAAAGTGTGTGGACGTGGATGCAAGAAGATCCGCTCGCAGATGTGCAGCAGCTCGACACCCTGTAAGAACAAAATGTGTCGTATTTGGCACGACGTGGAGGCGCACACGGATCGCTGTCAGAACCAGCAGTGCGAGTTTAAGAACCGGATTTTGCTTCGAGAGACGATGCACAAGTTGGAGATGAAGGACCAGCAGATCGCAGAGACCAAGGCAGATCTAGAACGGAAGCACACTCAGCTGAAACAAGGTGGCGTCAACGATAAGGCTCTGATGAAAGCTATTGCTAGATTGGGGCAAGAACTCGACGAGTGCGACGGCGAGCTTGGAGTTCTGGAGGCGACTAAGAAGACGTTCTGGGTCTCTTTGAATGAAATCGGCATCGAAGCGAAAGATGATGTCGTCGATAACTTTCCGGACTTTGCCACGCACTATGAGGATAAGAAGACACCGCACAAGGCTCGAAAGGCTGTGACTGCTTCTGCCACTCACCCTTCTGCTGCATCGAGTCGAAGCTCGCGTGATGCTGTTCGACATGATAGTGTTGGTCCACATGGTGGCGATGCTGATGATGAAAACGGAGCCAACGACGCTGACGAGAGTGGAAATGATCATGCAGCGCGAAGAAGCACGTCAAGTGGACGTCGCAGCCCCGCACCAGATAGCGACGATGAGACTAAGGGTGGCGAGGAAGAGATGAGTGATGCTGACACGTATCATCCTGCCCCGATCGCCTTCCCTCGACCAGATGAGCCGCCACTTCCGCCTGCTGGTCCTCCGCCATTCCGACAGAACCCTGAATTTGACCGGGAGTATTCTGTGCATGCTTCCGGCTATTCGATTCACCCACCGGTCGATGATCTCGAGGCTCCAGCAGTCGCTACAAGCATTGAAACGACGAAAGTAACTGAGCCTCCTAGTGAACATGGGCTCACGAAGGAGCAACTGGCCGATATGCAACGAGAGAGCGATGAGATTTCAGGCATCATAGCCGGCATGACCGACAATCCGCCCCCTTTGCCGCTTTCGACGGAGCCTATCAACACGGCAGAGCTTGTCAACATGCCAGTGCCCATTAACACGACAGATCCTGTCAACCCGGCAGAGCCGGTCAATGCGGCGAAGCCTGTCAACCCGGTGGGGCTTATCCATGCGGTAAAGTCTGTCAATGCGGCGGAGCCTGTTAACACGACTGGGTTTACCATTCGCGGCAGCCAGCCGCAAAACCCGTAAGTGGTTTCTCCAGAAGTCCGTCTAATGTTAAGCTTACCTGGCATTCGTGAGACGGCCACAAGTACAGCTTTTGCAAGCAACAACGTTTTTTTTGCATTACAAGATTGCGGCGGAGTCGTGGAGATAGCGTGAAGAAGAAGTCAAAGTGAAATGTCGACAGCTCGCTCAGCAATGAATGTCACCTTCGGTTTCGTTCGTCTTTTGTGCATGTTACATCGTGTAACTTATCTGAAGTAACACGAACTCTTGAAGCGCGGCGACAAATCTGAAAGCTTATAATTAGAGAAGTATTTTTCGTTTTTGATGCGACCAGGCAAGAACCAAGATCATTGAATTTTGGACGATGGCGCGCCATTCTGGAGGGATCGACACGGATGGAACGTCGCATCTGCTTAACCTTGCACGAATCGGTGAAGCTGGTATCGGTGGAATCTTGGGTTTTGAAGAAGATAGTCCGTCAAAAGCTTTTGATTCGCTTGCAGGGATACCGAAAGATCTCGACGACGGGGTGTTATCGAAGGATTTATCTCTGCAGTTGCAGCTAGAAATGCTGCGTGGGAAGCTCTCACGACGCAACCAGATACTGGAAGTAATTAGACGCGCGTACTACCGAGATGTGCTTGTTATCAAGGAAGAGCTACGGCAAAACGGTAGGAAAGCGGGTCACGTGGGGTCAATTCCAAAGCTCCAGCGAATGCCATCCAGTCAAGAATCCTCCACGTCAATCGACGGCGGTCTTTCTAGCGTTCCATCAGTGGATCTGCGAGAAGTTTTACCTCTGTTTGCACCCAGCGAAACAGTGCTGCAACTACACCCGTGCGAGACCTGTGGCGGTCACTTAGAGCTTGTTCATGGCGAGGTATGTGCATTAAACTGCGCTGCTATCGTCGACACTTAACCTTTTCGATGTTTGCACAGAGCAAGGAGCTTAAAGCTGCTCGACAAGAAATGGCCCGTGTAGCTAAAGGAGAGCAACAGATGCGAGCTGTCGTGCAGCGAATGCGCTCGGAGGCGAAGCAAATGGAGGAAGTTAATGATGCACTGCAACAACGAGTAAAGGCACTGATGAAAGAGAACGCGTATACTCTGGAGCAGTTGCAGGCTGCACGAAAGACGGAGCGCGAACAAAAAGTTATTATTGCTGGAATGCGCTCCAAGCTCCAGCTCGTTCAAGCTACTCAGGACGAAATCGATCGCCTCACGAACGAGTGTAAGGATATCAAGCAGCAGCTTGTTCGCTCGAACCACGACCGAGATATCTTCTCGGCTTCAAACAACCATCTCAAGGAAGAACTTGCTCAAGTGACCAGAGCTCTGCACGTCGTCAAAGTCGAGAAAGCACAAATCGAGTCCGACTTCGGCACAAACTGTACGTTCTAACTAACTATTCAGCACTAACGACTCAAGTCTAACAGTTGAGCCTGCTGTGGATGTCAGACTATCGATTACAGGAAGAAATTAAAAAGTCGAAACAGCTGACTGAGGATCTCGCAGCACGCGACGCGCAACTCAAAGAGAAAATGGCTCTTTGCGCGGAGCAGCAGCAATCTCTGACATCTCTAAAAGAAGAACTGGTGTCGACTTTGCAGCGCTTTGAACTAACCAAACGGCATCTGGAAGACCAGCTTATTGAAGAAGAACGAGCACGAGAGGAGATGCAAGAGCAAAATCTGGAATTTCGACGTCTCAACAAGAAATTAGCGCGAGACTTGGAGAACATTCAGCAGAACCGCTCGATGGATATGGATTATTCCTCCATGCTTGATGATCCGGAGGAACCGGAAAGACCGGCAAGCAATAACACTAAGAAGGACCGCTCGCAGAGACAACAAGTAGCAAGCCAGGCGATGCGGAACAATGTACGAAAAAAGATCGACGATCTTCAATACCAAGTGGAGTGGGCTTCGATGCGCGAGAACGATCTAGCAGGTCAACTAGCTCGCAACCCCAACAGCACCGGTCAGATGCCTGGTCTGAAGCGGGTGCTCAGTAGAATGGCAAGCAAAACTGTTATCTCTCGCCAACCGAGTTGCGAAAGCGAGGTGGCTGCAACTCCGACTCAGGCTAGTACACTGAATTCAAGCGAAGGGGAGACTCGCCGGCCATTTATAAAGCCTGCAGCCAGAGCGCAGATTGAATCTGCGTTGCAAGAAGAAGATGAATTGCAGGATGCGCTAGATATCAACGACCAGAACTTTGAGGCGTACCACAAGGAAATCGCGCGTATGCTGGCCGAGGTGAAACAAGGCAAAGATAACGTCGCCAAACAGCAAAAAGTGATCACGGTACGTTGCAGCTGTGCTAAACAATTGTCAACAAAACCCTCGTGTTGATTCCCGTATTGTTTTTGGTTACAGGAGCTGGAGCGAAAGAATCTTGGACTAACCGATCGGCTAGAAGAGTCCAAGCTGTCTATTGACGCGCTAACTGGCAGGTACGAACGTAAAATCCACCTTGCAATCTCTTACATAGCGCTAACATGATGAAACATCAGCGTGAATGCACTCAAGATGCGGCTGAACCAGGATAGCGCCGGTGCTGCTGAGATGATGGAGGCATTGATGCGCCAACACGAAGAGGGAAAACGAGAACAGCAGTATGAAGTGGAGAAGAGCTTTATTCTGATGACTTTCCTGCGCCAAGTTTCTGAGTCAGTACATGAAGTCAGCGACAACAAATCCCTCATTTTAGAGCTGGAGCTCGACGTTGTGCCACCTGAAGATCCCAATGAAGCCATACGTGATAGTGAAGGTGGTATACAGATGATAGAGTTGCAGCGTAAAAAGCGAGAAGTACGCCGGAAAGTGCTCTTGGAGAAGGCCATGAAGAAGTTTGGAATCCTGTGTCACAACCGAGCCGAGGTAGTCACAGTCGAAATGCAAAAGATTAAAGCAAGTTTTGAGCGTATGCGTGAAGACCTCGACCAAGCCGAAAACAAAATTGACTCGGACCAACTTCATATTCGGACACTGGAGGCAGAAATCTCAAAACTCCGTCTTGTAGTCGACATGGGGAAGAACAGCTCAGTAAAAATGGAGCGGGCATTGGTAAGTTCATCGATAGAGTTGAGGATTGACAAGCATTAACAGGTGCCGTGCTGTGTTAGAAACAAACAACGGAGGAGCTCAACGAGTACACGATGAGATGTAAAATTCAGGGAGAGGAAATGATTGCACTCAAGACGGAACACGGACAGTTGGAAGACGACCACCAGCGGCTCACACTTTTGCTGTTTGAGAAGACAAAAGCCTGGCAGCAAGAACTCAACGCCAATGACAGGGTATGTGTTCTAAAGCCTTTGTACCGAAGTAGTTTTTAACTATTTGCAACCTTTTCTGTGTGGTGTTACGTTCTGACAGTGTAAGCAGATCATTGCGAGGCTAGAAGTTGACGTCAGCGAACTCAAGAAGGAGTGCGAAACCCTGCAACAAAAAGTTGGTGAACACTTGGTGTAACTTGTGATTTTATCTTGATTATTTTAACAAATACCTTGCGATAGCTTCGAGACATCGAAGAGCAGGATGAGATCCGCCGCCAAACAAATCGCAGCGTTGAAGTATCAGCAATTCCTGAAACAACCGAGTCAGAGGCTCAAACCGATCGCTGGAAACCTCAAGGATTGATTCTGCGGCAACGTAATGGCCCCGATCGCATGCCGCAGCGCTTCCTGGGGAAGGCATCCGTCATGATCCATTGCCCCGAATTGAATCACGCTCCATCCCCAGGGATGGATACACCCGTACAAAACCAAGAGCTCGGTGCTTTATCCAGTTTAGGTGGAAATGCGCCTCAGATTACCGACACAGATGAACATATGCGTGGTCTACTTGAGCTAAAAGTCTACCCGTCGATTAAAGCAGGTGGTCGGCAGATCAAGACGAGTTACGCTAGTTCCCGTCCGAAAGCTCTATCACGACTCTATCTGTCGTCTGACGGGGTCTCTCAAAAGTACATTGCACCGCAAGGTTTGCGTGAAGGCACTCAGCAGCGAGCTTCATTCGATGGTAGACCGGCAACGGTTCTTTGAGATATCGACACCTAGACGCCCTTCATTTCCACCGATTAATGCTGTGGGAATGTTTTTTCAATGAAGCGCACACCTTCGACCTCGAGACGGGCCAGTGCAGGACCGTAGATGTCGGGGGTTGTGGGGGTAAGCACACCACGACCTTGAACTGCGTCCTGCAAGATCAACTGGACGCCGATAGCAGCACTTAATCCAACCGTTTTAGCCATGATCGTGTCGCCCTTCTCGGACCCGTAGCCCACGAATGTTGACGTACGCTTTTCCTTCTTGCCATCCTCGTACTCGATGCCGAACTCATGATGCATGATGGCCATGTCGCGTTCTCCTGGTTGGTACGACAACTTATCTTGCAGGAGAGCGCAGAAAGCGTCAAGGATGGACGGGGCTTTAACCACAGGATTTGATTTATCAAAGGCACCAAGCCACTGAAGGAACCCATGGGCGTCTTCGCGAAGACCTTGGAAACCACCCAACTGCGTCAGAAGATCCGGCCAAGTCGCTGGAATGGGTTTGGATGGGTCCATGTCAAAGAGGCCAAGCTTGCGTAGCTGGTACAGAATTTGACAGCATCCACCGTATCGCAGAGTTCCACGATACAGCGAGTGTGCCTCTGGGATGCCATAGATATCGCCGTAAGGAAGCGAATTACGGTTCGGGATCTGCTCGATGTTGAACGCCGGCAAGAAGTTTACGCGTTCGCTTCTATTGAGTAAGTCTTCACCTGCCACGTTGATGACTTTGCCGTCTTTGCGGTACTGGGCTGCATTCAGTGCCGCCGTGAGCACACCACGCGGACTCCAACTGAACTTGTAACCAATGGCGTTGTCCGCTGCTTCAGGAGCTGGCAAGCCGCCACAGACAGACGAGAAGGTCATGACCTTCCCGGAGAGGGCCTTCACTTCATCAATGACTTTCATGGCACTCATGTGATCCATACCAGGGTCGAGACCAATCTCACAGAGGATCGGAATACCTGCCTTCTTTGCCCTAGCGTCCAGCTCCTTCATTTCTGGTGACACATAGCTAGCCGTCACGAGAGGAGTCGCATGCTGAATGCAGCGCTGAGCAATTGTCGTGTGCATGGTCGCTGGCAGTAGCGACACAACGCAATCGGCTTCAGCGCAAAGTTTGTCGACTCCAGCAGCATCTTCAGCGACGTTCACTACGTGAGGCTTGATGTTTCGACGAGAGATTTTGCGCATCATCTCCTTTACTTCCCTCTCAATACCCGACACCACATGAACTTCGTTTCCTTGCTCTCTTGATAGATACTCCACAAGTGGTGACGCCACCAATCCAGCGCCAAAACACACAACCTTCCGCTTCTTCGGGCTGGAGACCGATACTTCAGCCATAGTATTGGCTGCTGCATCTTTTCTCACGACACCTCGCGTCTTGGAGTAGTCTGTGCCGCACAGATCGGGTAGTTCTGTGACCGTAGCCTTCGCACCAGAAGTAAGCTCAGCTAAGGAGCGGATCTTGGTGATGATAGCATCCAGCGCTTCACGGTCACTCATACTAATCTGCACGATGGCGTTCGAACTGGTGCTGTCACCACTGTCCCCGACTCCAACATTTGGGCGTACTTCGCAGTCTAGAAGGTGGAAACCCCCATCATGGTCTTCAATGAGGTTGAGTACCTGGTTAATAAGTCCGGTATCAAACAGGTGCCCCTCCAGTAGAACGCACGTACTCCCAGCGACCTGTTGTTGAGCATCCAAGAACTTGTACTGCTTGCTGCGCTCGCGCTCGGCTCGCATACGGTGGATATACTCGTATTTAGGTGCAAGCACACCATTGCTGGCGATACAAGCTCCACGTAGCTCAGCAGGCAGCTCTTTCTGTTCATGTAGAGGAACGTTGGACGAAGAAGCACTCGACAGCGCCGTGACGTATCCGACCAAGCGGTCACCGAACTGCTGACTCGACTCGCGTGCCAGTTCACTCGGTAAGATATCGACACCCATCATCATAATGCCGTCGTCTCCTTCGAGGCCTCGGCTGTCTCCATCTTCGCGCATTTTATCTTCAACAACGTCGTACAGAGCGAACGGACGCTCAATTTCAGTAGCACGCTCCAGAAACTCGATACTTCCGCCGATATCGCACGAGATATCAGCGATCCCGAGCAATTTGTGGTTCCCAGACTTGCGAAGCTCACGAATCTGCTCTCGCGTGGCCAATCTTGGAAAACGGTCGTCCCAGTACATACAGTTGACGAGCATTGAGGTGTATGGCAACACTTTTTCATGGAAAGCAGCTTCGTATTGGTGTGGATTCTGGTAGTAGTGAGCTCTCGTAGTCTCACCCGTGAAACCCGGCTGAGGCTTAACAAAGTAGGCCGGATCGTCGATGACTGTACCGTAGAGAATACGATTGTTTTTTGGCAGCTTTGGTAGTTCCGAAGGATGCACCATCTCGTGCGGCATGAGCTTGAAGATCTCCTGAGCTCCTTTAGACACATTGCCATTGCCAGTAAAGGCGAATGTCATTGGCGCCAAGTCACCCGGCAGACCATCTGTTCGAATCCTTCTACCTGCAGCTTCCACTGCGTCTTTAGCGTGCTCTAAGTCTGCGTACATGTAGGAGGACGCGATGTTGACGAAGGGCGAGGAGATTCCCATGTTGATGAGACGTTCTCCGAGACCTCGGAAGCCCGCAATCATTCCTGCACGACCGGCATTTCCGCCGAAGGCAATGAGACGCTTACCACTCTCCTCTGTGATACATTCGTAGTCGATTAGCGTGACGCGACGCTGTAGCACGGCGTCCAGCAGCGCCATGTTCTCGGGCTGCGCTTTGATGGTATGACTGAAGAAGAGGTACGTCTTGTCCGCCAGCAGTGCCGGCTCGGGCACCTGCTTGACCCCCACAATGACATTCGCCGGCGCCAAATTCTCGGACAGTGTGGCTCCGGCGCGAACATACTGGTCGTCTGAGAAGACGCGTGCCGTGGACGGCTGAACCAGCACCTGCACGCCACGCGCCACTAGCTCCTTAACGTGTGCGGGTGTGAGCGGCGCTCGACGCTCCCATTTGTTGTATACCTCGCGGACGATGCCTACACACTTGCCCGACATCTTTTGGTTGAGAAGGATTCTCTTGGGTCAGGCAGCGCAGATTTGGAAGTGCGCTGGTTGAAGACGAAGATTCGTCTGTTGAATCAAAGTTGAAATTCTCATATTTATTTCAAATTGGTGTGCATAGATTTAAGCAGAAGTTTAAAGTCGAATTTGTGAAGAGTTTTCTACTATTGAATATGTAATGATAGAGGGTACGGAGTTTTGGAAACATGCTCTATAATAGGTTGAAGTTGGATGATGGCTGCTCCAGCACGTAGACGAATGTCATTGTAGAGTCTACAATGTAGACGAGAACGTGTATGGCGATCGTCTTCAGTTTATGCAGAACCTCGGCGCTACCATCCCGTTTGGACGCCACGTGCTCGCTGATGTGCAATACAATGGGTCCAACTGTACGAACGGCTGGCTATGACGCGCTGGTAGTCATGCACTTACGCAGTTCCCTGATACCTTCTCAGCAAACATGGAGTTGCAGACGCAGCCACCGACCGCCGTTGTAGCCCCGCGCTACTTCAGCTTCAAGGATTTCCTAACGGAGGCCGAGGCCGCAGTCTTCTTCGAGCTGCCGCATGCCGAGCAGGTGGTCAAAGTTACGCAGTACCTGGACTTCCTGGGCCAGCAACCAGACTCGGCGCAGTTCACGACGTCGTCCAAAGCCTCCATCAGCTTCGCCAAGCTTCGCGAAGGCAGTGACGCTTCTGTCACCGGTATTGATGGCGGCGAAGGAGCAGACCAAGATGAGATATCGGTAGTGAACACTGAACTAGTGGACAAACTACTCGAAGGGCGGACTCGTAGCGGGTTTGGCGCCTTCGGAACAGATCTGGGCTTCTTGTCCCAAAAGCGACTGAGCATAGCGGTTGCTCACATTGTTGAGAAGATCGGTCACAAGTACATTGTCGAGCGCAATAAGCGCGGTATTGTAAAACCACCTGTACTTAACAGTCGGAGTTTTTACTTCTACTGGTGTCACGCGGAGAAGCAGAAGCTCATGGACATTCGAGAGAAGCTAGAATCAAAAGAGATTCCTTTAGATCGGAGATGGCTGTATTGGCAGCACATTGCAATCGTCGTTGACCGAGCCATGTGCGAGGACTGTATCCAGTTTGCCGAGTGTTTTGCACGTGCCGAGAAGGCATGTATCTGTATCCAAGACCCCGAGGTTGCACGAGTTTTTCCTTTATCCAGCAATCAACGTCGTCGAATTCAAACTACGTAGTATCCTCAGGCTGGTGTGTTTGCGTGATGCATGTGCTATACAAAGTTTATTGATAGAGTTACAGACGACCACGGAAAAATACGCCAGCACTGACCAGTACAGTATCCTCCATAGTGTACAAGTACTACTGTAGATACTACGTAAAAATATGCCATAATTCTGATTGGGTAAAATGATCACAAGATATTTGCAAATTTTTAAAGCAGAAGAACTACAACGAGTGACATTACCGGTATCAGAAAGACCATGTTGAAACTTTACTTACTTAAAATTTGCATGTACTTTGTCTGGTGGACCAATGTAGCTAAGCAGCAAATATTACAAAAGTGCGGCTGTAACACCATCAAAAGGCGCCCTAAGAGTTTAGGATCCTTTTGTGATTCGGAGGCTTCACCAACCTATTGTATAAACCTTTGTGCGTCCAACTTCGTAGCACAGTGCTGCTACAAACTATAGACGCACTCAAGTTTCGCTTGTTAGATGAGCAAAACGCAAAGCCAGCGAGCGCCGTTTGGCCCTAAAGCCTTCAATACTAAGCCAAACTGATACCAACAGAGCGTTTCTCGATAGTGTCGGTATTGCAAGCAGGACCGAAAAAATTACGTTAGGGGGTGTTCTAAACTAAAGACGCACTTTTTTAAAAAATGTTTTTTTGCTTCCTGTACGCCCTCTTATTAGCTAAAATTAGGTCCCACGAAAAGCGCGCGAAATTCGACGGCGAAGGGCGCAATTGGGAGACCGACACAACTCAAAACGATGCCTCGGGAAACCAGACTAACCCCCGAAGAGATCGGCAAGGTCAAGGCGCTTCATTGGGAAGGAAGGAGCTACCGCTACATCGCGAGGTCCATCGGGCGCAGTGACCATGGGTGTTCGCAACATCATGAGGCCCCCCAAAGAAAGGCGGCACCCTCAAAGATAATTCGGCAGGCCGGCAAAAGTTCACCCAACGGATCGCTAGACGGGTCTTTCGGCTTGCTACAGTCAAACGATTCACGTCCAAACGGATTGCCGAGGCGCTCGACAACGTTCTCAAGCCAAGTACGGTGCGCAGGCTGTTGAGCTCGTCTCGTGCCGCAAAGTGGATCAAGAGGAAACCCTCTCCGGCCATCAAGCCTCACCACAAGGTCGCACGTGCAGCATTTGCTGCAAAATATCTTGAGCAAGACGCGCATGTGGGAGCGTGTCATCTTTAGTGATGAAAAAAAAGTTTAATTTGGATGGCCCTGACGGCTACCAGTACTACTGGCACGA